ACACAGTATCGAACTAGCCGATCTAACAGAATCATTGTGGTGTTTGAATGAACTAGTAACATCTTGTTGTTGTGAAATGCTTGATTTCGAATTCTAAATACAATACATTCGTTGGTGCAGTTCTTTAATTCTTGATTCATATACTTCTAAGCATCACAGTGGCGTCGCGATGGAACTTGTAATGGAACAGCTAGATATTCATTCTACTTCTGAAGCTTTTGAAGATTATTTGGAAAGGTTTGAAATCTGGAGTATGACCAAGAAAGATGTCAAAGATGATAAAATTGTGACTCATTTCCTAACATTCATCGGAAAAGAAGCGTACAGCTTATTGAAAACCTTGGCATATCCAGAGAAACCTATTTCACTTCCCTATGCAATGCTAAAGGAGTTATTATTGAATCATGTAAAGTGCCCTGGTTTTGAATGCCGTGAAAGAGCGAAATTTCATAAGATGATTCGTCAAAATGACCAAAATGTTAAGGAATTTATTCTTGAATTGCAGAAACAGGCTGTCAAATGTAATTTTGGTGATCAACTTCATGTGCAGCTGAGAGACCGATTAATTGCAGGAATTAACATACCTAGTTTGGAAAGAGAGCTGTTAAGAATGCCAAACTGTTCCTTTCAAGATGTTAGAACTGCGTGCATTAACTACGAGGCGTTGAATGAACTTGATATTCAGTCGATGAAGATTTCCAATACTTTGATTAGTTGTCATGATGAAAAGCAATCTCAGGGTCAATCAAAATTGTGTTCGTTTAACAGAGGTTCCTATTCTCGTGTAAATATGAACGGTGTCTCAAAAAAGAATTACAAAGGAAATCCAGAAGGTGAGACCAAGTTTGGCAAATGTTTATCATGTGGAAAACTTCATTCTCGTTTTTATTGTACATTTCGTAATGCTAAGTGTTTTAGATGTGGTAAGATAGGACACATTCAAGCAGTATGCAAAGCTACTGTTCATTTTGCCTCAAGTAGTACTAAAGCTTGTAATTTAGATTCCAATAATTCAGCTGATCCTAATGATCATTTATCTTTGTCTACCATTTTGAAAGGTAATGCTCATATTCAAAAGCGACTATATACATCGCTTGGTTCATTTCATGACTTTATTGTGGACACAGGCAGTATAGAATCCATTATTTCATTCAAGAATTTGAAATCGTTAGATCCGAACGTTGTGATACGACCCACTGATGTATCAATATTGGGGATTACTGGACACAGACTGCCTATACGAGGATGTTGTGAATTGCTAATAAGAGATGATAATTCCTCATACATACCATGTGAATTCTTAGTTAGCGAAACGGGACTGTCAATACTGGGCTTAAAGAATTTGAAAAGGCTTAAAGTGGAGTTGTCTCTCCTAGTTTCTAAAGAAAATTCTGATGCTTTACTTAAAGATTTGATAGCCACGTGTGCTAAGTGCAATGGAAGTATGAAAATGGTTCAGCACGGGAGTGCCAAGCAAATTCAACATGTTGACTACATTTCTCGACAGTCATTAAATGCAGATATTTGTCGTACAGCAAAGAATTGCGAAAAGTGTCATAAGCTGAAAAATCAGCATTCGAGGTTGAGTGATTCTATTGCCGCCTCAACATTTAATGAGCTGGAGAGGGGAGTAGATACCTTTCTACTGCAATATAGAAATGCCAGACATTCAGTGACGAAAGAGACTCCATCAAAACTATTAAAAGGAAGAATTCTTCGGTCGAATATGAGATGTTTGGAGTCTGCAGAAGTTACATATTATCGTGGCAATGAACTTCGACCATCCACGGGGATCGTTCAGAAGAATGTCGGGAAATCTATGGTGCGACTTTTAGATATCAATGACTTAAGTACACACAATCGACATGTTGATCAAATACAATTCCAAGAGCCAGGTGAGTCTGTTCCAATTCCGGTTGTTAATTCTAATACTAATGAGAGCATTCTAGATAATACAGAGCCTTTATCCAATACACTGTCGGACAGACACAGGATGAATTTGAGAAGAAGATGTACAACTGATTACAGACATATACATTCCAATTTAAGCGGTGGCGGATGTGGTGTTTGAATGAACTAGTAACATCTTGTTGTTGTGAAATGCTTGATTTCGAATTCTAAATACAATACATTCGTTGGTGCAGTTCTTTAATTCTTGATTCATATACTTCTAAGCATCACAATCATGCTGTTGTTGCTTAAACAAGAACGGCATAAAAAACTTGATTGAAGGTATTTACCGGCCCTGCTCATTAATTCAACCCCAGAAAGACAAGTTGATTGAAGCGATATTGCAACTACCACACCTAGGGTTAGAGCAAACACTCTCTCTCCAAATCTGGTCAAACACGGTACAACACCCACAGGAAGGTTCCAAAAGCGACTTGTCACAGCTATCAGAAGTTCCGGATTTTTTGAGCATTTACATAACGCCACTAGAAGAAGTAATGATAGAAAACACTCAAACTTGGGTTATCTGTTAATAAATGATTCGCTCCTAATCGAGGATACACATGTTCACATACCAGTAGGAAACAGTAACCAAGGCGCAGTAAAATTTAATATGATCGCAGACGACAAACTCAGGGGTCCTACTTTAATATACTAGAGAGTATATTCTAAACGCCCTATGGTTAATAATGAACAGTAAGAGATGTCATTCAGAGTGCTTTCCTACTTTATGAACTTCGAGGCAATCGTACACCTGGATGAAGAAGAACATGGGCTAAACGAGGCACCGAACGCTTGCCACAACCGAAGTAGAGAACCTTGCATACGTGGAAGGTTTTTCTGAGGGACGGTGCAATAATTACTACTTGGCCTGAAAAACAGGTGCAATGACGAGTTTCGGATTGATATGACACACTTCCAGTCGAAATGCAAGCACATCGAAATATCTATTTAAGTTCATGACTAACAGAAATCCAACAATCAGGAGGTTTGTGCTCTCATAGTTCTAAATGGTGTAGAACTTATGGTGAAGAACTTGGTGATGGTTGAGACCTTTAATACCGACTTCAATGACCGGTCAAACTAGGTATCTACAGGGTCAAAGTGCTACTCAAACCTATTGCCAGATGGTGACTTAAGGAATATCTCACTTACACCCATCTTATTACTCAGACAAATCAAATCTCCGAACCCAGTAAAGTTACCAGGACGTGACAAAGTCCAACCTATAATCTCGAAATAGTGTACGGAAGCCCTTAGTTGTTTATCGGTATGTGAACTGTTCAGGTACTGACTGGAATCACACCAACTCCTAGCTGAATGTGAATAAGCTACTCTCTGCCCAATCCAAAGCAGGAGATAGGAAGCATCCAGACTGATATGATCCAGTCGCATTACTATCGATACTGTTGAGGGAAATGGGGTGACTGAGATATGAACGAACGAGGGAGAACATGGATTATAAAAACACCCCTCATGAAATTCATCAAGGGTTTAGGAAAGACAGGCCATGTGCATCCAATCTCCTTAATTAAATGAGACAGCTGGTCTCCCTCTTCGTACACCATTCCGCGACATTGAGAAAGCCTTCGACCCAGTACCTCACGTACTCCTAATCGCTGATCTCGTGACGATGATCTTGAATGATTCATTTCTCTCTTGGCGCAGATTACGGAAAGTTTCGTAAAAACATAAATAATGTGCATTCGATCAGGAGAGTTTTAGCTTCAGTAGTTTCTTAATGGACAATCTTAGGTTCACCGATGTTCCTCGGATTTATAATTGACTTGTCAGATAAAATTAGCTACTCAACATTATTCAATGCAGATGATGCAAGGATCTAGAGTTCCATGCGAAGCGAAGAGTATTCGTTTGAGCTTCAAAATAACCTTTCACCAATAAAGGAATGGTCAGTGGACAGCGGGTTGAAACTTTATTATTCACACAAGGCCTAAATAGCACTTCAAACTACTTACGGGATACAGCTAAGGCTGGCGCAACTCTTCCTTTCATGAGTAGACAACTTGGCGCAATCACTCAACACTTGTTGTTGGCTCTATTCAACACGTACGCACAGCCAAACATTGAAGTTCACGATGTGGTCGCATCCCATCCACTTACATTATATATGAACCTCTTGGATCGAATGAAGACAACTAGATGGCTAATAGGGTTGAGAAACAAACCTTAAGAACACAGACTGCTATACGTGGGATTATCCTCGCTGAGTTAAGGGAGAACCAGTGGTGGGTTAATGATGGCATACAACCTGCAGTGTATTCTGAATAATACCAACAGGAGCATATGACCAAACCACCACCAGCAATCTCCTCGAGGTAACACTCGAAAAAGTACATATCAAATAAAGATCACCAAGTTTCGTCCCCACTTCTTCTCATTAAGAGTTGTCAATACTTGCGATGAATTCCCGCCGCAAGTGATCACAGAACTTCAATGGATGGCTTCAAGAAGCAACCTGACAAACGTATACCGCATATGGATTATCATCAGCCACTTGAACTAGCTGTGGCTGATGTGTGGCTCGAAACTAGCTAGTCATTGTTACTATCATTTCCTCAGATCATTAGATTATTCTAAATTGATTGTTATCCCTGTTTCCTTTTTTATCCCGACAATCCTGTTTTCTTACACAATCCTCACTACAGATTAATTACCTTCTTTATTTATTTATTTACATATCCAATATCGTTTTCACGAGCAAATATAAATCGATTGATTTCTTTGCACTCCGTTCTTACTCTTTCGGTACGGTTGAAATCAATAGCAATATGATCATATATTCGTTGTTCTCCACAGTTAAATAAATGACTTATGAACTGGAAATGTGATAGCTGTTTGTATTCAGAAATCCTACAGCTTTGACAAAAATGTCAGTCAGTTGACTAAAACTAGTCCATTTTAGTGGCTGGACTTTTACTCATTAGACATTAAGAAATGCCTAGAACCTTACCGAAATAAAAAGCAGCGAACATATAGAAATCAATCGATTTATGCTACCTCAAGTAAAAGATATTGTCTATTGGGAAGAGCACAAAACAACAGTGACGCTACATGCAGGCCTGGAATTTGGAGCGCATACCATTACCGAACTTTTCCACATATGTGTTTTACACGACATTATCACTCTTAGGATCTGTACTTCACGTGTCTTTCCGGTTGACTAAGGATGTGAAATCTGAGGGATTTAGGAACTCTACTTCACCGTGCTACCCGAAACTAGCATTAACTTTCTGCCTAGAAGATAGTTGGTGCTTTTGGAGCTTCATAAACTCTGGATATTGTTTGCTTATGTATGCTGCAAGGGAATTACAAAATTTATTTTTCGGCCAACTTCGAAGTGCTGAAGATTCACATATTAGAGAAAATTTTTCCAGTTTTATTTTTTATAAGGTGGTTTTTATTTATGGTATCCTTCACGTAGAAGCTCTTCATGAACTCCTTCTCTGGGCAACGTGGTTCACCATTCTTGGCTTTCTGCGTCTTCTTACCGGACTTATCAGAGATCGTTCTCAGTACACTCTTCGTTCTGATTTTTCGCTAACCTATCAAGCCCGAATATTTCTATTATGTTGCCTGCTTCTGCTTTTCAGCAACGTTCTAATGATTATCTCGATCATCGTGGGTGCAAAGCATTCTCTTAATACTATGTTTTTCATGCTTGCTGAGGTATTCCAACTTTTGATTGTCACTGTTCATGTTATCACATGGTATGTAGTTTATCTTTATTGCGAAGTCGCCTCTCGATCGGATAATGATGATCAAGTTTATCACCGCTTCGTGCTTCTTTATTACACAGATTTGCTTTTTGATACCATTGCTGATTCTGGCGACGCGTTGCATAACCTACATATGTTATTTTGGAATAAACTTCAGTTAAACATGTCAAGTATCATTGTTGCCTTGCATCTTCAACATTTATATTACAAAGTGTCAAAGCGTTTTGCACATCATAAACGCTACAAAATTGCACTGAAAAGTTTGGATTCTCGAATAGTCTATTCCAAAGTAAGTATTTAGTTATGTTTTACCATAAATATCATGCTTCACATAGACTAGTAGTTCGGTGAAACACTGTTATTTATCATCTGATGTAGTGCATCTTCTAACACTTATTAAGATTGCCTTATCTTCGCCTTCTAGTCCCATTTGGTTTGTATTATGTTTGCTCAATCGTCCGATACAAATGATGGTCTCAAAGTTGTCAGTTAATGTTGTAACTACTTGACGATCAGCTGTGGTCTCTATCCTCGCTTTATGTAGCAGTGTTTAGTTATATTTGCTTTTGGAGTAGATGTAGCCCATAATTTTGTGAATGCATATGTAGCATCTCACCATTTATTCCCTATACTTCAATGCTTAGTCGTTTAAATTATTCGAGATAATAGTATCGATCATATTTTTGTATTTGTAATAATTCGATAACGGTATGGATTATTGCACGTGTGCTTGTGTGTGTGCATGCTT